AAACATATAAAGGCAAGTAACTAATCATATAAAAATTTTGTAAATGCTATTTTGAAGACTAGAAACTGAATCATGATTAATATTAGTAATAGCAATTCATAACTTTAGCCTTTCTAGTACTTGAAAATTTAATCGTTATTTGATTTGTTTAAGTCTATTCTATTAAATAACGATGAGTTTTTGGCTTTGCTTAAAAAAAATAAGTCATTTAAAATTAGTGGCTGTCTTTAGCTTGTATGCATAAAATTTAGTATGTCAACTCATTTGACCTATAAACAACAGCAACCATTAGGATATGTCCTATGACTGTTATAGTGTTTGACATTTGAGTGCGTGAGAATAAAAACCTGGAACTGATTATGATTGACTATGATCAGTTACAGGTTTTCATTCTCACGCACTCATTTTAGATAGCGTTCCCACAAAAAATTGGTCACCCCTGTAATTTTGACCAACAAATTTTAAGATCAGGTGTACGTGATAGTCAAAACAAACGTGTTTTGTTTTCTAAGCGTATAAAACTAAACCGCGTTATAGTTAGGATTAGGTTGAGAACTACGTAGGGCTAGGTCTGAGACTGTTAGTAAAATTTCACGAGGAACATTTTTAATTAAGCCGCAGAAGGTGATTTCCTAATTAAAATTTAGAACTATTCTCGTTTTTTTGTAAAAATGTGGCTTCGCTTCGATTTTTACGTTACCTGATCTTGAAATTCGATTGGCCAATATTACAGGGGATGAACAATTTTTTGTGGGACAGCTAGAGGCGTTTGACATAAATTTTGATGGCATTCGGATGATTTAAAAGATAAAATTTTTTCTCAAACACCCGATCTCATGGATTTCTACAAACTTATCGAAGTTGAAGACTGGACGTGCGCAGAGGTTGTAGAGTATTATCGTGCGAAACTAGAACAAAAGGATTGGATTAGAGTACTGAAAAGGATCTTCAAATTGATTCAAGTTTTGACGAGAAACGCAAAAGAAAAGCTCACAGCATTCTTGACTGCTGGAAGGTTTGTATTAGTAAGATAAAATTTAGGTAATCTAGGAAAAGCTGTGACTGTTAGTCTACAGTTATGAACTGTTAGTTCTTCCTTGAGCGCAAGCTGTGACTGTTAGTCCACAGTGATGAACTGTTAGTTCGACGTCTAAGCGCAAGCTGTGACTGTTAGTCTACAGTAATGAACTGTTAGTTCGACGCTTTTTTTGTTTTATACATTTATGCAATGTTTCTTTGCGAATGCTATTAATTCAGCATTTTATTAAGAATTGGACAAAGATGGACGTTTTAAGTTCGGGGTTTATTAGGTGAGATTCTAGCCTGAAAATTTTTTAAGACAAAAAAAACTTGGTAACATTTTTTTTCGATTAGATACAACAGGTGTTCGCGACTGGTAATAATGATCTTAGTGATAATATCGATAATCGTCGTCTAACTGGAAAACACCTCCGAGATGATGGAGAGAAAATAATGGATGATGCAACCCCGCTAAAGCAGACGAAGAAGGTAAGGCCACTGTCCCAATATTTCTGTGAATAATATATTCTGTGGATTAGCTTCCTTATGAATTTGAAACTCCTCAAACAAAGAGACCGAGAAATGTTCCCTTTATGAAGATGCGATCGTTGACGCTGAGCTTACAAACCGCAAGGTAACTAATACCGAAAAAGCAGGAGAGGTAAATAGTTTGAATTATTTTGATACAATTTCTACACCAGATCACAAGAAGGTAAATACTAATTGTTTCTCATTGATTCATGATAATGCTTCATTTTTTGTAATACGGTTAGGCAAAAACGTTAGGTGTCTCATTTGACGAGTATGTTGACTCAAACATACAAGACGAAAGTGAGAACGATAAAGAAATAAATTTTGATCTTCTTGATATCTCAAAAAAATTACAGCGCGAACAAGTAGTTAAAGTATGTCATGTGTTAGATTTTTGATTATATATTTCGCATATCTCAGTTTCCTTTTTTTTTTTTTTAGTGGGAAGTCGATGATATTAACGTAACAAATAGGTTTCAGAATTATCAAAAAGAGATTTTCAAGAAGGCGGAACGAGAAGGTTTAGACTACGAAAACCTCTGTAAGTATTCTGAAATATAACATCTATAACGATTAAATCAAGATTTATTAAAAAAATTTTTTCATCATTTCATTTAGAGCATTATCGTTCTCAACTGGCCGTGTCCATATCCTAAGATATTTACCAATCAAGAATGGAAAGAAATAATAAACACCAATCCATCCATATACTATTAAAAACTCCCCACTTTCAAAGGGATTTCAACATCCCTTTATGAAGCAACTTGCAACAATTTCATCGGTAAAGTTGAAACCCCTGGGGAAAGTCAAAACTCGGCGAAGATCAAACCCTCTAAGATTTTAGAAAAGACTGAGCCATGTTAGTAAATCAAAATATTTTGCATGTGGCTATTAAGCACAGCATGTGTCTTACTTAAAAATGTACAAAAGCAATAAACAAAGTGATAACCTTTCGTTTGTATTCAAGTACTATTAAAGAAAACTAGATTTTCGGCTTTTAGAACTTCGAAGTAAGTAAATTTAGCCTTGAAAATTCAAAGCCTAAATCTTGTTTTCTTTTAGTAGCGCTTGTGTGTCTTCTGAAGGTCACATGTTCGACACCAAGTGTAATATGTATTATTTCAGTTGCAATTTGAACATATTCCATTCAGACTATATCTTTTAGAATAAAATTCATCAAAGACTCATTTGTGATTGTGTTTTGAGTTAACCCGTAGACACTTTTACTCCGTAATCGATTCTTTAATTGCATTAAACTTATAAATAAATAAATAATGTACAGTAAGTATCAATAATAAGTATATTAATTAAAATTAATTAAATAAACTAGACGTAATAAAATAATAAAAACTCACTTCTTTAAAATATTTTGTGTATTTTATATTCTACTCAATATTTTTGAGTATAATCGTGCATGGACGTGTTACGTGACTATGTATATCCATATTTATCTGTATTTATATATCGTATTCCATCTAATTAAATTGCTGAAACTTTATCGCCAATATTTGAATATATGCAACCATCGATATCTATATTTCTACTTGTCCATCCTTGTGTTGTCCTCTGAAGGTCACATCACATGTTCGATACCAAGCGTAATATGTTGCAATTCGAACATATTGCCTTGAAAATCACGTTCCGACATTTCCGATCGGGTTAATTCGGACAAAAATAAACCCGAGTACCGGTTCATGTTCATATGTTAATCATCTT